CTTGTGACAAGGCAGGGGTCTAATTGAGCTGACTAATACAAGCTGCCTATGGATGGCTAAACTCAAAGAGCACCCTGTAGCACACACCAACTGGGGCTTCAGCTGTAAAGATTCACCCCTAGACACTGCCGTCTGTATGCTCCCCTAGAGATGTGAGCAGTGGGACACTGAAGAGGTGAGCCATACCCCCATCGTCCGCCCTGTGAGAGGGAGGAGGGAACTTTTCCCATTTCAGTAATAGTAAGAATAAAAACAATAAGCCACTTTTTGACCAATAAGATATGGGCCATCCTATCCACTCTCTATCCTAGGTACTTTCCGTGAAGAGACCTGACTCCCAGTTTGGGAAGGCAGGTGGTGAAGTTTTCAGGAAGGTTGTGAGCTACTTGAGTGGTAGCTTGAGATCTGCCATGGTGAGAATATCTGACCATGGAAATTGGTAAATAGTATAAACCCATGCTTTAAAAAAGAAAGTCTCCTCCTCCCTGGAGAGCCCCTTGTTAAACCTTTGCCCGCCCACCACAGTTGCCATGCACTGTATCGTTTAGTCCTTGGCTCTGTAGTAACCCATTTTATAAATGGGGGGAAAAGAGGTTAAGTCACTTGCCCAAGATTCAAGAACAATTCAGGAGGGAAGCCACGCTATGAGTCCAGGTCTCTAATTCCAGAGCATGGGCAGTTCACCTTTACGTCAGTGTATTGTGATGTCAGGAAGGTAGGAGACACTGGTTTGACTTCTCTCCAATAGCCGCAGGACAGAGCTCAGTGTTGAGCACAGCGTGCATTGCTTAATAAATACACGCTCCATGCAAAAATCGCTAATGTCTCAGCACATGAAGGAAACAGGGCTATTTTCTAATACAACTTGCTAAAGTGGTATCAGAAAGACACCAGGCAGGCTGGCCAGAGGCCTGAATCTTTGTTCTAATGCCATCTTTAATTCAACGGGCAATTAATCGCAAATCACTTGTGCTTAGGCTTCAGTTTTCCCTTCTGCAAAGGAGGGCCTTTGACCAGATGATCTTCATAGTCCCTTCATCTCTAAAATTACTTGAATTTACATGTAGCTTAACATCAGTTATTTTCACAGGTGTGTGGGCTCCCATTTTGCTAGGTACTGTGTTTCCAAGATCTATAGACCACAGTCTCCTCATTCTGTCTGGCAAATTCCGACTTTGCTTCAAAAATGTCACCTATTGCTACCTCCTCTGGGAAGCCTTCCCTGATTCCCCAAAGCTAGTCACTCCCTGAATAGTGTCCCTATCACCCTTTTTTATTTTAGGTGCCGAATCTAATTGTTGCCATGTAACAGCAGCCATCTCGCATTCTTTCTTTACTTTTGCCATCTCCCATTTTAGAACTGTAGGCTGATAGAGGTGTACGGATATTATTGGTTTTGTGTGTTTCGAGCACATGCTTGTTGAGTAAATAAATGGGTAACACTGCTACCTGGGTCCTGCCTTCAGAAATTCATATCTAATTGGTCTGGGGTTTGACCTAGGCACTGGTAACTGGAAGTGTGGCCAAAGGTGAGGACCTCTGGATTCAGAGGAAGTTTACACATGCACACACACACACACACACACATGTACACACACACGCCCACACACACGTACACACACATATACAAACACACACGCACACACATGTACACACACACATACACACACATACACATACGTACACACACGTACACACATGTATACACACACACGTACACAGATGCACACACACACACATACACACACGCCCACACACGTACACACACACGTACACACATACACAAACACAAACACACACGTACACACACATGTACACACACATACACATACGTACACACACGTACACACATGTACACACACACACACACACACAACACCTGGCTCTGAATGTCTACATCTATGGCCCTATTGAGATTGTTCTTTACTTCAATACAGAGTTGAGGATAGGCTACAAATATGTAAATATGCGCTTGTTCTGATACCTATCCATCTCATTATAGACCAGCTCCATCACCCACAGTCCAGGGGTGTCTTTTGAAACCCCAGAGATACCAGAAGCTCTGCATTCAGAAAGTGTCTACACTACCAGACTCACTCTCCACCTGACTTCAGGGGCAGTCCACGCTCCTGGTTTCCTCCTCCCCTGACCACTCCTTCTCAGGCTCCTTCCCAGGTTCCTCCTGTCATCTTTAACCCTGCATGCTGGTGTTCCAAGGCACCATATTTGGATTTCTCCACCCTTGCGTGGTGATTTCATCCGGTCCTGTGGCTTTAAATCCTGTCTAGATGCTGGTCGCTCCTCTGCTCAACATCTTCCACGTCTTCCCATCCGAAGTCCTTGTGCTGCCTGACTTTCCCGCCTCGTCTCCCATCACTCTCTTCCCCACTGACTCCTCTCCAGCCACACCAGCATTCTTGCTCTTCCCCAACAGCACCAGGCTCTCTCTCACTTCACAACCTGTAATCTTGCTGTACCCTCTACCTGGGACAACCCCACACCCAGATTCATGGAGTGCTAGGCACTGTTCCAGTGAACACCAGTGTACCAAACAGAAAACCCAGCCCCAGGAAGCTTCTGGGATGGAGGAAGGCAACTTGGATGGAGAGGAGAGGTGGACGGAGGAAGAAAGAAAGAAGCGGGCATGGATTTCCACAGCTGGCCCCATCCTGGGATTCAGGTCTCAACTCCATGTCCCCTGCTCCTAGAGGCCTCCCTGACCAGACTGCCCAACCCTCCCTCACTCTCCTTCCCTTACTTCACACTATCTGAAATTATATCACCTATTTCCTTTCTTGCCTGTCTTCCCCTCTATAATACAAGCTTTATGATGGGGGACTTTACCTTCCTCCCTTCTATACCTCAGAGCTTAGAGCTGTGCCAGCCCATGGCAGGCAGGCCATAAATACTAGTTTGAATGAATAGATGAACTATATCCATTTGGGAACTGGAACAGTACTTTTTTTTAATTGTGACTGCAATAGAATCTCCCACAGATCTACATAAAATAATACCTGAGATGTTATTTCTGTCCTGCTTATCTCAGGACAGAAAATTCGAAGGCTAAATTTTAAATAAATAGACCTAAAAATTACCTCTATCTACTCATAATTGATAGCTAGCCAGACACTGACACTTTACCAAGAGTAGGAATCTGAGTGCAAATGAGACACTATAGTATCTGTAACATAATATTATTAAAAATGTATAATATACCTGCTATATTTTCTTGGTTTACATATTTCTTTCTCTATACTCTTTATTTTCTCTGTCAAAGTATAATACCTCATTAATCTTCCTGCCTCTGGTTGTTCCCCCAATTAACTCAGTCTTTTTATCAACAGCATTTCTTTTTTGGAAGACAGTATCTCTGAGTTACTCTTCCCTGCAAAGAAACCCTCAATGCCTTCTTATTTCCTGCCAAGTCAAGTCCAAACTCCCTTACAAAGCTTCTTTTTTTTTTTAACTTTAAAAAACTGTGGTAAAACACACATAACATACAATTTACCATCTTAATCACTGTTAAGTGTACAGTTCAGTCAAGCTAAGTAGTTAACACTGTTGTACAACCATCATCACCATCCATTCCAGAACTCCTTTTGTCTTGCAAAACTGAATCTCTGGACCCATTAAACAAATCCTCAATTTCCCCTCCCTTAACCCTTGGTACCCACCGTTTGACTTTCTGTCTGTATGAATTTGACTATTCTAGGTTCTACTTAAGTCTTTTAAGCTGTTTTATGCTTTCTTTCCCTCCCATGCTGATATGGTTTGGCCATGTCCCCACCCAAGTCTCATCTTGAATTGTACCTCCCGTAATTCCCATGTGTTGTGGGAGGGACCTGGTGGGAGAGAATTGAATCATGGGGGCACTTTCCCCCATACTGTTCTCACGGTAGTGAGTAAGTCTCATGAGATCTGATGATTTTATAGGGGGTTTCCTCTTTGGCTTGGCTCTCATTTTCTCTCTTGTCTGTTGCCATAAGATGTGCTTTGCACCTTCTGCCATGATTGTGAGGCCTCCCCACCCACATGGAACTATGAGTCCATTGAACCTCTTTTTCTTTACAAATTACCCAGTCTCAGGTATGTCTTTATCAGCATCATGAAAACAGACTAATACACACGCCTAGCACATGTAGGGTAAGTTCTAGTCTAAGTACAAAATGCATTGCCACAGTTGTCAGATGAAGCTTTGGTCCTGTAGGAATGTGCTCCCCTCACCCTGTGGCCTTTGCACATGGGAGTCCCACTGTGAGAACATTCTCCCGATTTCTGTTTGCCCATCCAAATTCTCCCTGTCCTTAAATATGGTCTAAAATCTCCATCTCTTCCTTGACACCCCATCCCACTACTCTAGTCCACACTAAACTCTTTCTTCCTGAAACTCATATTCCATTCATTGGAAATACCAAACATTTCAGATTTATGAATCCACCAGCTGTTCTTTGCAATATACCTTTGTCTTCTTCAAAAGTTTCTAAACTTTCAGATGGGGAAGGGATCATGTCTTATATGTGATCTATACCTTTCACTTAGGAAAAGCAGTTGATTCAAAGGAGAAATTCAACAAATATTGATTAATATATGATTTTTACCTTAAGGTAGTTTTAAAGTACTTCACTCTCCAACATCAATGGGCAGCTCTCTTGAATCTTTTCAAGGAAATGTAGTTACAGCCAATACCTGTCTATTTTTTAACCTAATCATGTGGATAAAAGGTAGTTCTAGCATGGTTTCAACAGAGTCATATTTGTAAAACCATATTCCTGAAATGAGCTGCTGTGAGCATCTCCCAGATCTTGCAGAAGTTAAGTAAAACACTAATTGAGAAGTGAACCTTCACATCACCATTCAACACCTATCAACCAGCTCACTCTTTCTACACTAGTAGAAAGACCTAGAAAAATCAGGACCTTTATAAAGTGCAGATACTGGGAACTAGCTCAAAGGCAAACCAGAAGCCAGCCTCTCTTGGAATCATTTTTTTTTCCACCTACCTGTGTAAATGAACCTTCCTGGGGCTCCCTTGCAGAACTGTTTGGATTTATAAGATAATGTCACCTCCACCACGCCAGGGATGTGCCGGGGAGGAGTCTGTACTCTGATGGCATGAGGGGTTATTAGCTGAGGAGTGAACAGGCAGGGAAATAAAATACCCATTAGACAAGCTATCGCCAAGGACATAAGGTACACAGCATGTCCCACTATTGCTCCCCGGGGGCTTCTCTCTGCTGTGGTCTAACTGAAGTGCTCCTAGCTCCAAATGCACTCTGAACATCACTGTCCTGTCTCTGTCTGTCTGTCTGTCTGTCTGTCTGTCTCTCTCTCTCTCTCTCTCTCTCTCTGTATATCTGACTCCCTCACTGTTGCTGTCTCTCCCTCTCCCTCACCTCCTTGGAATTTTCTCTCAACCCAACCAACCTAGGTCCTTTATTTCCTACAAGCCCAGCCCAAGTCCCTCCCACCGCTTGCTGCCAACCACACCTTCATCCCTGGAATCCTTTTCTCTGCGGAACTGCCATCCTGCTTGCAATTTCAAATATTGATTTGGCAAGTTCCAACCCCAACTTAACACTGTCACTTATCTTTTTGTAATGTTTTATATGACGATGAAAGTAAAACACATCGAATTCAGAACATTTGGAAATTACAGAAAAATACAAAGAAAAATATTAACATCATAGAGACAATCAATATTAACCTTTGGTATGTTTCCAGTACTTTTCTATAGATGTGTGTTATATAACTACATTACATCCATAGGCACTGTTGTCCCTCTGTTGCCCAGGCTGGAGTGCAGTGGTGCGATCTCAGCTCACTGCAAACTCTGCCTCCTGGGTTCAAGCATCTCTCCTGCCTCAGCCTCCCGAGTAGCTGGGATTACAGGTGTGCACCACCATGCCTGGCCAATTTTTTTAATTTTCAGTAGAGATGGGGTTTGACCATGTTGGTCAGGCTGGTCTCTAACTCCTGACCTCGTAATTTGCCAGCCTTAGCCTCCCAAAGTGCTGGGATTACAGGTGTGAAACACTGCACCTGGCCTTCAAAACCTTTTTTAATGGTGGTGTGATATCCCATCACTTTACAATTCTAGATTTCTAATTTTTCACCATTTTAAATAATACTGCAATGGATACTTATCTTCGTAAGGAACCCATGACTGAATTATTATGACTTCTATGCTTTTTAACCTTTGGTGTTTGTGCTGCTGATGCTCTAGGAATCACCAGTTTCCCAGATCAAAACAATCTTTGGGTCAAAGGAAATCAGAGTAAGCAAGATGCCTTTGCCTACCTCGCTCCATACAAGCATGGTCCCAAACACCACCTGGAGACCATCAAAGAAGTTGTCCCCAATGATGATGACCATGGCTCCTCCTGTGGTCCAGCCTTCACTCGGGCTAATGGCTTTGATGCAGGGGGTAGCTAAGAGGATACGAAAGAAAAAGTCAGGTTTTTTCTTTCATGGATGTCCAACTTTTTGCCTTCCCACCCCACGTTGGAAGAAGAATGTCTTGGGCCACATATAAAATACATTAATGCTAATGATAGCTGATGAGCAGAAAAAAAAAAAAGGTCCATGCATAATTTTCACACTATCCCCCACCACGGATAAGAAAAAGAATCCTTGCATTCAAAGGATTGGACACACCACAAATAAGCCAAAAAGTCCTTGCATTCAAAGGCTGGACACCTGTATATGGTTGAAGTTTAGAGTTTTGGGGATGGGCTGCCTTTGAAAGCTGTTGGTCATTCCGAGAAGTTCAAGCTGAGATTTGTTGACTTGACATCATTCCCTAATTGGTTGTTGGTTTTCACCAAGTCATTAAAACCTAATGAGCTGACCATTACATATGAAAAAGTAAAACACTTAGCTAATTGTGCAAAGGGTGTTTGAAAACCTCTGTTGTTTTTGTCCATATTTTTATAAGTTGATCACACTGGAAATGTGTAAATCCCCTTTCTCTCCCCACCTCCTCTGCCCTAAGATGTTAAGATTTACAAGGCCTATTAATGGGCTAGAGAGAGAGAGAAGGAGAAAGCAAAATCTATTATAGTTGAAGGTTTTCTTCAGCTCTATCAAGAGACAATTTCTAATCACCGTCCTAACTTTGTAGGAAGGATTTTCCCCACTTCTTCCATATGCTCCAGGCCTCTGGACTTTACATCCCAACAGGAACCCAATATGGTTTTCAGGCCATAACTAAAGTCAATCCATCACTCCATTTCCAAAGTTGACAGGGTCAAAGGTAGAGGAGAACTTTGGCAGGACTCCAAAAACATGAGCCCCCTTTGAACAGCCAGTCAATCACATCCAATCAGTCAAAAGAAACTGGATGGGTTCCTAGTCCTGAACTCTGGGATTTTCTTCTCCCCTTTCAGTTCCCACTGTGGGAGAATTAACACCACTCCAAATTCTTTACTGATTCAATCATTTTCTTTCAGTTCATTAATTCCTGTTTACAATGATACAAGATACATTTTCAGGGCTGAGTTAGGGTGGGAGGTAGGGGTCGGGGGGAAGCGTATAGCAAAACATCACACTAGAATAGTAGCCTAATTTGAGCATACATTCTGTATTATAAGGTCGTTGTATACCAGTGAGTTGGGAAGGGGAATAACTAAAATGGAATTTACTTAGGTTTGTCAGTTATCTTCATCAATATACTTTAATTTTTTGGACAACTTGAAGTTTAACAGTTACCGGTATTTCTAATTACTTTAATGCATTTGGAAAACTACCCAGAACAGACCATGATTTCTTCTTGTCCAAGCAAACAAAAATCAATTAGTGTCAGTTTCATTCCGCACATTGTTTTGTTTTGCCTACAGTCTGTTTAAGGACACATCTGACACTTACTCTTACATGTCTGGCACTGCAATGTTCCTGTTTAACTAAGATGTCATAGGCCTACATTTGCCTGAAATGCCCGTCTCACAAAAAGGAAAACACAGAACAGAATGGAAGAGGCTGGGAGGCAAGAGAACTTGGCATGGGCTGGTAGACATGTGGGGCTTACAATGGAGCAGGCTGGAGTCCGTGTTTACAACTTCGTTAAAAAAACCCACATGGTTCTGTGTACTTTCTCTACTCTGACTCCAAGACATAAATTTGAAGTTTGAACAAGGAAATTCTTGGAGAACATCATGTGTCTACCATGCTGAGTGGAGACAGCCCTACCTTCTGATGGGTCGAGTCTTCTTGCTCTCCGTCCGTGCTTGGAGTTGTTATGAACAAACATATTGTCAGAAACAGCCAGGACGTGTCCATCCACGTTCACTGTTGTTGACAACACAACCTGCATATTTAAAGTAAAAAGGAGCAAGGGGGTGCAGTGGAATTAGTTTCACATAACATAGCAAATGCACCAAAATTCTGTTTTGCCATATTTCCATATGGCAAATGGGAAATGGGACTCAACAGAGTTTCCTCCTTCTGTAATTACTTCAGAACTTTATAGAAAAAGTGGCTGTCCTTGACCCATGCATTGTCAAGTATTTTTGCTCAAGGCACACCCACATCTGCCTGCTGGTTCCAGAAACCTGGTTCTCTATCAAAAGACCTGGACCACCATTGCCAGTGGAACCTCCACCACAGGAAGCTGGTTGGGTGCCATGTGGAAGCTGAGATCGTCACACCAGCTGGAAGGTCACTTCTTTCCAAGCTGGGGAATGGCTTCCTGCACTTCAGATGGGTCCTGACATCATGCCCAGCTTTGAGATCCTGGCTGGTGAATTGTCTGTGGTGTTGCTGCCCAGTAGAGAGTGGTGGCAGGGATGCCTAGACCTAGACTTTTGCTGAGAAGATAAGGTTGTCATAATTCAGCGATGAAAACATAGCATGTGTAGTATCTAATCAGGGGGAGTGGGGAGGTAGTGTGGAGTGATGGGAGAACATGGGTTTGGAGTCAGAGAGAACTGAATTCAAATCCCAGGCCTGCTGTCCTCTAACTTGCAACCAAAGACAAATTACTTAACCTTTCATAATCTCAGTTTTTCTTATCTGTAAGACATAAATAACAATGTGTATCTCACAGTGCTGAAATGAGATATAATGAGAAACAGGCACACATCCCTAGTCCAAGAATCTGAAATCCAAAAATTCTACAAAATCCAAACCTTTTTGAGCACTGATATGATGCTCAAAGGAAATGTTCATTGGAGCATTTTGGATTTTGGATTTTCAGATTAGGGATGCTCAACCAGTAAGTGAAGAATGCAAATATTCCAAAAACCAAAATCAGAAGCGATTCTAGCTCCAAGCATTTTGGATAAGGAATACTCAACCTGTAATACATGGAAAGCATCCAGCATAGTGCTTGGTGTGTGCCAAACTGGGATGAGTTCATGTCCTAATTGCCTTGCCCATGCTGGGCATGACCATCCCATAAGACAGATGACATTTCTCACACACAGAGGTTCTCCCATAGTCTAAGCTCTGGGGAAGGTCCTAGGAAGAAGCAGATAGAAGATAGGTACAGACAGTTACAAGGTATGGTCCCTAATCTCAAAGAGTTTATTTTCTGGCTGGAGAATCATAAATAACACAGGAAATAAGTAGCACAAAGACTGGTATTGAACTAAGTTTCAGCATGTGTACTGCAGATCAGGGGTCAGGGAGAAGCTCAAAGAGGCGGATATCAGCAAAGGATGGCCAAGCACAGCAGAAGACAGCGGACCTCGGTGGACCTCCCACCGACTCACTTGACCCAGAAGACAAGCCACCCTAGACGTGGGTCTAACTTGTCAGTTCACATAAGTTATGCATGGCCATTATTATTACTTTTTGAGAAAAAAAAGAACTTGTTATATACATACTCACACACATGTATAGGCCTTTTGAGGAAGGACACTAAATAGGTACAAAATAAGGAGTCATGCTTAAAACTGACTCTTTCTCTCCATCCACTCCCAAATGAAAATGGTTGATAGTCTACTTGTAATTGTCCTTCCTTATTTATTAAATAGAGGGCAGAAGGCTTGACCCTGCCTTACTTTTTTTTTTTTTTTTTTTTGAGACTCTATTGCCCAGGCTGGAGCACAGTGGCAGCATATTATCTCACTGCAACCTCCACCTCCCAGGTTCAAACAATTCTCCTGCTTCAGCCTCCTGAGTAGCTGAGATTATAGAGGCTCACCACCATACCCAGCTAATTTTTGTATTTTTAGTAGAGACAGGTGTTCACCATATTGGCCAGGCTAGTCTCGAACTCCTGACCTCAAGTGATCCACCCGCCTTGGCCGCCCAAAATGCTGGGATTACAGAAGTGAGCCATTGCACCCAGCCCTACCTTACCTCTTAATATGAAGGAATGAGGCAGCATTTTAAAAACTTTCTATTATGAATAATTTCAAGCAAACAAAAGAAACAGGATAGCATAATGAATCCCCCAAACTTATCATCCAGCTTCAAGAATTGTCAAAATACTGCCATTCTCATCTCAGCTACAGTAGACCCTTATCTAAGATGTCTGTGCTCTAAAACCCCAGTGGATGCCTGAAGCCTCAGAGAATACCAAATCTTATAATATACTATGCTTTTTCCTATGCATATATTTCCCCTTATTCCCAGGAAAAACATTCCAGGACTCCCCATAGACACCTGAGACCATGGGTGATACCAAACCCGATTTTTCCTATGCATATCTATGATAAAGTATAATTTATAAATTAGACACAGTAAGACATTAATGACAATAATAATTAAAGTTATAAAAAGATATTGAAATAAAAGTATATACATGTGGTTTCTCTCTTTTAATCTAAACATATCTTATTGTAGTGTACCTCGGGTAGCTGAAACCATAGAAAGTGAAACCTCGAAAGTGCAGGGGTGGGGGGTACTGTATCCCACCACCCGCTGCCAACTACTCAACAATGATAATAATCACAGGTTGGGTTTTCTTGTAGGTGAAATTTACATGCATTGAAATGCACAGATCTTAGCTGTCCAACTCACACTATGATCAGGATGTAGACTATTTCCATCTCTGCAGAAAGTTATCTTGCGTTCCTTCCCAGTCCATCCTACCCCCACTACCAGCAAAGCAATAGTCTTCTGATTTTTTTCTTTGCCCTAAAGAGTTTTTTTTTTATGACATCTTTTAAGTTATTATATATTTTTAGGATAATAGCTTTGGGAAAATCCCTAAAACTCATGAGTCCACAAATCATCTCACATAGTCTCATACTTTGAACATGGTGGTAATATATATAAAATTTTACATGAATAAGTGAGTTTCAGTCATCCAACCCAACAGATAATTCACTGAGCTTCTAACATGTGACAGGACCCAGAGATTCAAAGAATGAACTTAAAGGAACCTCAACTGTCAATATAATTGCTCACAATTCAGGGGTGCAGCCTGTCTAGCTCCAGGTCTATTTTCAATTGTGTCCATGTTAACCATGTTAGAATCTGGGAAAGGTCCTTCCAGAAAGTTCTCATCACACAGCGGCAAACGTAAGATGGCAGCATCCATCACTCCCCACAGGTGCTCATATCCTTATCAAAGTGATCTCAGCAAAATACAAAGACACATCACAGCCGAAGAGAGAGGCAGAGCCTCATGGTCACAGGGTTAAGAGGAACATGAAGGTTGTATTGCCTACCCTCCGAAATAAACAGGAGAAGAGAGAGAAGAAAGAAGAATCAAACTATTCTTACAAATTGTGTGTGTGAACGCATTTGCAAAGACATGACTGTCATCCCTGGAAAAANTTTTTTTTTTTGGAGACAGAGTCTTGCTCTATAACCCAGGCTGAAGTTCAGTGCAGTGGCCTGGTCTCAGCTCACCACAACCTTCGCCTCCCAGGTTCAAGCAATTCTCCTGCCTCAGCCTCCCAAGTAGCTGAGATTACAGGTACCCACCACCACACCTGGCTAATTTTTATATTTTTGGGGGTTTCACTATGTTAAACCAGGCTGGTCTAGAACTCCTGACCTCAGGTGATCTGCCTGTCTCAGCCTCCCAAAATGCTGGGATTACAGGCATGAGCCACTGTGCCCAGCCATGGGCATTAATTCTTAATGAGTGGTCCTACACACGCTAAGGGGGACATGGGCCCTGTCTGAGGATTACGTGGAGGTAAAGAGCCTTCTCTCTGAGGCTGCTTTAATTCACTCCACAAGCTCCTTGTCATACTGTCCATTAATACTCCCCACGCATTCCTGCCACAAAATATGGGGATTTCATGAGCCAGCTGATTTCATCATTGTCCATTTGGGTGGAGTGAGACTTAGTTCCAAAGTGAACATTTCCCGAATGACATACCCTGATGGTTCAGATGCACTTCATTATTTTCTATTAACAATAGAAATAAATTTTAATCTCTTGCTGGCTCATGCTGGCCTCTCATGACAGCTAGGGAATTAACCTGAATTATGTCAGTGTCTGCAAAATTTATTACAAGATTTTAAATTATGTCCAAATGTATGTGCGTGTGCATGTGTACGTATAGGTATGAGGCAAGTTCCAGGTTTAATATTCCAAATATCTTAGAAGGTGAGGTAGCCGGAATAGCCTGCCAATTCAACTGAATTTGCAAAATGCGATGGACTTAATTCATACACTCCACAACAAGAAACCAGATCTGTTTGGTGGTTGTTTCTATACATAGAGACACACACTTAAACACTGACTTTTACACACATTTGCTTTACTTCTGGAAGAATGAACTACATTACACAAGTGAAGATATATGTGATATAGTCAAAACTTCAAATTTAAGTTCTTTCACTGTTTACTGATGAACAATGACAATGCTGATATTCGTCTATTTGCAGAAGTTAAGAGTTCTGAATGTTTTAGGACGAAAGGAAGTGGAATGCACATTCCAACATCATCTCACTCCCAGGCCTTCCCCTTCCACAAGCCAACTTCTTTCCCCTAGTGAGTATTTCCTGGGTCACGAAGGCTGACCCTTCCCATCTGGAATCAATCAGTCAACCCCTGACAACTTCCTGAAACACCTCACTCCATTTCCTGTTCTCTCCCCCTTCTCGTTTTCCCCCTGGTTTGCTTCACTCTTCAAAACTGCAGGCCACAGCAGCTTAATGTTAGAGGGTCAGGCACAGTTAGACTCCAAAACACTACACAAGGACACCTTTGACCTTCAAAAATCTTTACATCTTAGCTAAACAAATCAAGGTCAACATTTCTTACCATTACCTTGTTAACTATTTGTATGCATCTCTGCCAAGGGTCTTCTGATCATATAACCATCAATACCACTTATTCATCTAAGATCATACACTGATCGGCTTTCAAAGAAGCAAGTGTAGTATGGATAAAAGGTG